AGACTTTGGGGCTGGATAGATTGGTGCGTTAAACCCGTCATGTCACCAATTATTGGATTAGCGTGTAAGTTTAAAACAGAAGATGTATCCCAAGTGGCCGTTTTTACAGCTTGTCTACCAGCAGATACAGAGTTAGGTTCTACAAAACTGCTGAGTGTGTTTTGCAGTTCAAGTAACGCGACACGGAAGCACATTAAGGATGAGGAGGGATTGTTGTTAGAGGAAGAAAGTGCTAGGGGCAACATGCTACCACACGAAAGGGCTTATATGTTTCTTTCAAAGGGTGTGGTTCAGCCGGCCGAGGTCTCGGATTTGGAAGATTTTTTTGTCAGGTAAGACTTAAAGGAAGGTTTTCCTGGAACTTGAACATCTGTTTTGAAATGCGATTAAAAAAAGAGAGATGGATGGGAAAGTGAACTGCTTATTACCACCATGGTGGCGAGCCAACAAGTCCTTTTGTTAGGTGAAACGAAACTGAGTCGGAACGTTCAAATTCATCTGGACGAGTAGCTGTTGGTCCATCAGATGTTAGGGATTTAAGATGCAGCATATAAAGCTTGTTGAAGACGATATCAAGCTTCTCTCTTATGTCCATGTTATGAAGTGCTTGTAAAGTGTTTGGATATTTTTGCGAAGAGTTTCAAAAAGCGTTATCACTGCTTAAAATTTGCGTTTAACACATTTTTTGGTAAGTTACTCTTACGTTTCGGTAGAGCATCATTGATGTTCGATTCTTGGCGGCCATATAAAAAACGCACGACTTCAGCTATAGTACAGCTTTATTGAAGCCGTTATTTGTCCGTCAATTACCGCTCAAATTTTTCCGCAGCTTTTTGATCCACTTACCTCCCAACAAAAACTTAGGAAAATCAGCTTTTTAGTGCTCTAAGAGAGGATTTTCCTTAAATCCTCCTCATATGTCAAGAAATTGTCTCATTTCCTTACAGGTTTGAAAAGCACGATTCTATAAAGAGGAATTTGAGGGTGCATGTTGTCGACAAAGGATGGCTAAAAATAGAGTTTTACAAGAGCAGAGAAAAGAGGCCAGACAATCAACTGTGCAAACTAGAAATGGATCTCCCCCCTCGAAAAAGAGACATTGAGGTAAAGAACAACGTTTGAAAGACGTAGCTTGGACCGTCTAACTGACTTGATGAGTCCGAATGAGTGGGCGGAGACGGATGGGCACGCAGCATCGAAGGTCTTAAGATGCGAATCGCAATCGTCTC